TCCCTTTGTATCTTCTTCTTCTTCAACCTCTCTCGATCTCACTAATTCTTCTCTTCAACTACTCGATCTTCTCTTCCTCTTTCTCAATTAGGGTTTTACAAACGAAATTCTGATATAAATTACCGAATTATTTAGTTTTAGGGCTTTTCTTCGAGTTAACCAATCCGTTGAACACAAAGAGAAGATATGAGATAACAGTTGTAGTTTCTGTGAGATTCTATAATGGAGCAGCTTGTTAACTTCATCATTCGACCTCCAAGGTTACGCTTGTCTCTCAAGAATTAGGAATTTGTGCTTTTTGATTTCTCCGATTTGGTTGTCTAATTCTCAATCGTTTAAGAATTGGGTTTTCTCTGAATTAAAGAGTTCATGACTTGAATTTTGTTGTTTATGATGATTAGATGTGAGAATTTTGTGGACCGCTTGCAAAATTTGTCTTCTTCCTAATTTCATAATTATCCTCTGTACTTTCACTTGAGTTTCTGATTAGAAGAATTATCAAATTCTTCTTTTTTTGGCCACCCATGTGATCTTTCTGTGTCATTACTAAAGTTTACTATTCAGATTCTACTACTGAATCTTCAAGAACGTGTCTATGTATTACTTTGACATGAGTCTTTTAAGAGTTAGGATTTGGGACGTTACTAGGCTTGAAGATAAACATCTATAAGAAGATTGTCAATATGTGAATTGACTTGTTTGTGTGCTGCAGAGCTGAGTATGACGCGGAACATGATCTCTTGGAAAAAGAGTTTATGATGAAAGGTAGATGGTATCAGAGAAAGGATTTAGAGGTAAAAGCTTTCTTTTTTGTTTTAAGATTATAAAATCAAACTTGTTTCTGTGGAACATTTTCTGTATTTACAATAGTAATAAATGGGGTTTGTTTGTAACAATGGAGGTCCTACCGATGTTTGTTCTTGTAAAGTCAATCTATTTATTGAAGTAAGATGTGTGTGCATTGTTTTTGAAACCTATGATGGTAATATTAAGCATATAGAAGTAAAAGTTATTTGTTTTATTTTCCTGGCTTGAGTTTTATTCGGATATTTCGTTGGCAGGTTAAAAACAGTAGAGGAGATGTTCTCCAGTGTAGTCATTATATGCCAGTTGAACGCCCTGAAGGAAAGCCTTTACCCTGTGTAATATACTGCCACGGAAACAGGTACTGGAATGTTTGATAAAGATTTTTTGAGCTAGTTAATAGCTTTAAATTATCAGGAATATGATTCGAGTTGTACTACTTAACTTTGTATCTCATGTGCCTTTCATTTACTCTTGGCCCTCTTGATTCTTCGCATTGCTTAATGGCCCTGCAATTCTATCATATAGTGGATGTAGAGCGGATGGTAGTGAAGCCGCAATTGTCTTGCTGCCTTCAAACATCACAGTTTTCACTCTTGACTTTTCGGGATCAGGTCTCTCAGGCGGAGAATATGTCACCTTAGGCTGGAACGAAGTATGTTCTCCTTTAATCATTCTCTTTTATCTCTTCTACTCTTCAAAATATATTGTACATTGGAGTAAATATTTTGTCCAATATGCTCTGTTATTTTCTATTTTATACCCATGTAAACCAATATGATTGTGCTATCTTCTATAGATGTACCCTATTGTAAAAACTCTAGTTCATGATTAGACTGAGGAGTGAAGAAATTTTGGAATTCGTGTCAAGTTGTAGTTTTGGTCTTTGACCATGTCCTCTGTGTATTATTCTCCACTGATAATGTCAATGTTCCCATTATTCTTATTTATGACTGGCCATTCTTCTTACTATTGTTGAACCTGATGTGACTGCTTGCAGAAGGATGATCTGAAGGCTGTGGTCGAGTTTTTGCGGCAGGATGGAAATATATCCCTGATTGGGTTATGGGGGCGTTCGATGGGTGCTGTTACTAGGTTCTGCGCAGACTATAATTTATTAATTTACTAAGAGCGTATTCATTTTTCTACCTTGCATGAAGTTTCGGTTAATGGTATGGGACTGTGTCAATGGAAGTTAAAGTTTTGATTAACGGTATAAGGCTTTGTCAATGGAAGTAAATCTTACTGGTGATTTATATTTGTTGTGAAGCTTCATTAGTTTTAGACGGTAGAATAAGTGCTGTGATACTTGCCGGTGCTTAGCCATAACTATCACATGTCACACGTGAGCGACTATGAGAGACTAAATGACATTTTGAAATAAGCAATTTATTATTGCAATCACTTGTGTTGCCTCCCAAACAATGATAGCATTTTGTTGAACCATCCACATTTTTGTTACAGCTTGATGTATGGAGCCGAGGATCCTTCGATTGCAGGAATGATTCTAGACAGCCCCTTCTCCGATTTGGTTGATCTGATGATGGAACTTGTTGATACATATAAGTTTCGTCTACCCAAGTTTACTGTAAGTAAATTTATATTGTTTCTGGTGGGATTTGTTCTGTCTACTGCAAGACTTCCTTATTCTTTTACTGTATGGTATTAAGCTCTCTCTACTCTATATTCAGGTGAAATTTGCAATACAGTTCATGCGGAGAGCTATTCTGAAAAAAGCAAAGTTTGACATAATGGCTCTGAACACCATTAAGGTCGTGTTCTCTACTTGTTTGTCTTTTTCCTTGTAATCTACTTGATTGCATAAATGGTCTGATATATACAACAGCATAATTGCTTGTCATGGTCATCCTGCTGGTTGGGAAAGTATTTAATTGGAAACTATATCCAGTTTAATTGTTTATCTTCCATGCTGCAGGTGGCAAAGTCTAGTTTTGTTCCAGTTTTATTTGGACATGCCTTAGATGATGACTTTATCCGCCCTCATCATTCAGATCGTATATATGAAGCTTACGTAGTAAGTTTCCAATTCTTGATAGCCATCCTTCTTCTTACACATGTTCATCTTCGGCTAGCTTCTATGGGCTTTGGTATAAACATCTGGCTTATGTTTATGATGGTAGGGTGACAAAAATATCATCAAGTTTCCGGGAGACCACAACTCCCCAAGGCCTCCATTCTATTTTGATTCGATCAATATCTTTTTCCACAACGTCCTTCAACCCCCAGAGGTGGTGGGGCCGACATTTTATGACCCATTGGATGATTACTTTGCAAATGTAATGCGACTGTGGCACATATGACGGTTTAGATTTTTGTGTCTGCCTTAAGAAACGTCAATAATGATGTCTATTTTATGTTCAGGGCAGTTGGGGCACTATGCATGACACAAATATTCCACAATCCTCAGTACAGAAAAGTGAGTCATACTTGTTTTTCTCTTAATCTTCTGGTAGGTTTTATTTGAGCTTAAAGGCGACATCGTTTGTCAATATTCAGGTTTAGCCGCGGGTAGCATCTCTGAGGCAATTAATGAAGTCCGCAAGAAACGACCCATGAGTCGCACAGATGTCAGTAGTTCTTAACTAATCTGGGTCTTTTTAATTCTTATTGCATAGGTTTGAATGTTTTCTTTACCATTATTAGGCTGATACCCTAGCAATGGTTCAAGCAATCAAATGCTTTCCTAGCATTCCAATCTTCCAATATTAATAATGCCTGTAGTGCAAAAATTTAGAACGCCATTTTTTGTCTGTTCATAGAACCTTACAGAAAGAGTATAAGAAGCTTATGAAATATAGTGGACTCATGTAATTTTTCTTGCACAAGTGACCAAAGTAAAATGGAAGGTGCTTGCTATACTTGTTACCTCTAAAATATACCTGAAGGTTCTGGGTTGTAATTTTGAGCTTTCTCCACCGTTTATCAATGGCTTTTATTGCTTTCTTCAGGTTCCTTCAAATGTCACATCTAACGGTTCTCCATCAGAATCTAAGGTATAAGACCAGTTCCTCTTCCTTTCCTTATTTCCATCTTGTGTTGTGTTTATGGTGCCATTTAAAGTATATGGTCGTTTGATCATATAATGGTTCATTCAACAAGGGTTGAGACACGAGTGCCATGGTTATCAGATCATAATCGTGCAAAATATTAATGAAAGAGACTGGAAATTCCTGATGTGGCATAATGATTTCGTTTCAGGAAAAAGAAAATCCTGATGGCCGTGGCAGTTCATCTTCTCCTGATGTGATAAGCTTTGATTTGTCAAACGGCAATCAACACCCTCCTCACCTTAGGATGGCTTTAGATGAGGATCAATATGTGGAGTATCAGATGGAGGACATGGCAGATTTTCCATCTAATGCAGAGGAAGAAGAAAGGGTGAGATCAAAATCTGTATAGTCTACTTTAATCAAACTTTCTAATATGTCTATGTTCTATTGACATACTTATATTTGTATTACTTTATTCAGATGCTTATGAAAGCCGTGATGGAATCGTTGAAAGACTTGGAAGTGCAAAGTCAACAGAAAAAAGAACCTCCTGAGACGAGAGTTCATGGCAGCTCTGCTTTTTTAACTGCAGCTCAATGCCTTTCTTCCACGGAAGAATCGACTTCAACTCGAGCAAATCAATCAGAGAGTGATTCTGCTTCCAGTCCAGTAACACGTAGCCAGGATCAACTACCGTCATCTTCTGAGTCCAATCCTCCAAGTGAGACCTCAAATTCTCTGGCGGGACCCATAAACGCTTCTGTTCCCGGCTCTTTAAGCCAGAAGGAAAGCGAGACCGGTGACATGTCAGGAGTTACAAAGGCCACAGTGACAGTGGAACGTAGTAGTAGCGCACCGGGGAAAGTCTTAGACGGGTTAATACGCAGGTGGGATCTAAACTTCTTCAAAAACAACAAATAAGTCCACTTATGAGTTTGGTAGTGTAATTGGGTCAAGTCAGTGCTATACATATTGATATTGGTTCAAAAATAGAAGGATTTCTCATGATAGGTTAATTCGTTGTTGGCTTTGGTTATTCAAATGTTTACATATGATTTTTATTCAAATGTTGTCTTCTCTTGTGGGCTTTGGACTATTTGTGCAGATATGCATTGTGTTCGTTCCAAATGCTCTTTATCCTCATTGTTACAAAAATATGATGATTCAATTTTTCCTTTTAAGTTCACTTAATAATGTCTTTTCTTGTACACAATCTTCCCTTGATCTCTTATTTCTGAAATTCCTAGGTTTTGAATATTGATCTCGTCCGTTTTCAGACAGTAGCAGCATTCAGCTTTATCCACTTCCGGAAAATTGTCATAAGCAAAAGAGACGAGGATTGGCAAAACATCCCACATATCAGACCGATCCACAAACCCTGTTTTCATCAAAACAATATCAAAATAATGAATCCAACATAGCTTAGCAACAAAAAAAATCTTTACCAATTTCATAAGAGAGTCTAACATTCACCTTGGCATGAAGCTTCAACTTGAAACCACAAAGGACTGAAATCGGCATTCCGATTAAATAGAATGTTCCCAAATTTATAACTGTGGCTAACCGCTGCCATCCGCATCCTCTCGCAACTCCTGTAAAATACATTATAGAGATGAGTATCTCCGTGCTTGATAATTCAAGAAAGAAGAAGATTTTCTTGGATCTTTTTTACCTGATAAAACACCTTGGATGGAATCAAGTGTTATAGATGCAGCAAGGAAAAACCTTAGTGATGCAAATCCCTCTTTAATCACATGGCTATTGCTGAATAAACCAACCCACCAATCATGACCTACAAGTATAGCAATGACTACACCGAGAGCTAGAACTAAAGACAACTTAACGGACACCGAAGTCGCCTTCTTTGCGCCTTTTACATTTCCTGCTCCAAGTTCATTCGACACACGAGTACTGCAAAGTTTTTCGATTTTCAAAATTTTGACACAATATTATTATGAGAGGAATACAAAAGTATTTTGATGAAATAATTGATGAGATAAGCAAACCTTGTAGCTGCGCTAAGTCCGCATGTTAACATGTAGCTAATCGATTCGGTGTTGACGCTGAATTAATTTAACATTACACACAATGAGCTACTTGTTGATGTAAGATAACACATTACTTGATTAACTATAATAGTGATATAAAAAGACTTACCATATAGCTACCAAAGAGGTGGTGATTTCCGGATTTGGCATGAGTCCTGCCAAGAATACTAGAATCTCGAACGCCCAATACTCTAAACTGTTGTAAAAATATAGTTTTAATAAACTTCAACAAGCATATGAATCCGAAACTAGCACAAACCACTAAGCTACACGTTCTAGTCAACAAGCATATGAAGTTAATAGTTGATAATGGTTCTTGAGCTGACTTACCATACCATAGCAGCAGAAGGGATGCTTAATGTCAAGTTTAGTACTACATAGCGAAATGATTCCATCGAAAATCCGGTCCATGTTTCCTTAAACTTGTCTGACCAAATCACATAAATTCCGAGAGAAACGAAAGCTATCCACAATGAAATAGATGTAGCTATGGGAGCACCAATGAATCCGAGGCCAGCTAAATGCACCAGAGCATACGTAGTACCAATATTAATCACCAAGGGAACAAACGAGAAGACAACTAGCGGAGTAACGATGGATTGTGTTTGGCAAAATCTCAAAATGTTTTGTAAGAACCCATAAGCAAATAAACCGGGAGCTAGGTACTTCATATAGAGTGCAGCTTGTTTTGAGATACTAGGATCTTGTCTGAGAAGTCCGAAAATCGATTCTGTGAAGAACCATAAGATGGTGATGAGGATGCTGAAGACTAATGAGACGATGCAAGATGATTGAAGATGAATCCCCAACATTCTATAGCTTTTTGCACCAAACCCTTGTCCACACAATGTCTCAAGTGCTCCACTTAACCCTGTCTGAAAATTAACAAGACATTAAATGTCTTTTTTTAATATAATATTTTAGACTATCTTTGAGAAGCACAAAAGTGGTTTTAGTAACTTATGCATGTAGAAAGCAAAAGAAAATGTTGGATGCAAATGATGCTTGGAGAATAAGGAAATAGTAGTACCATGAAGGCAAAACCGGTGACGGTAGCCCAAGAATTGGCGAGGGTAGCACCGGCGAGCTCGAGTTGGCCGAGGTGAGAAGCAAACATCACAGAGGTTAAAGGGATACAATAGTAGAAAAGATTGGTGAATATCATTGGTAGAGAGTAAATGATTTGAGTCTTTGCTTCTTCAACGTCAATAAGTTTTTGAACATAAGTTGATGATTTTCCTCTTCCTCCTTCACCTTCATGGTCATCTTTCGACGTAGGATCAGCCATTGTATCTTCAAGGACTTTGGATTTGGTTAAGAGTAGGAGAAGCTAGACAATTTTTTACTTGTGAAGGTGAAGAACTATATAAGGATTAAGTGGAGAGCTTTAATGAGATGTGTTGAAAGAACCTGTCTCTGTCAGAGGAGAAGCCAACCAATTTCGACTCTCCACAAAAACACGAGCGGAAATAAGAAAAGTAAGTATAAAATAAGAATGGTACGCAAAATAGTTTATGAAAATATTAAACACAAAACTAAAATATCAATACATAGAGACACATTTATGAATTTTATATTAACACTCATGAGTAATGACTCAAGCCAAGAATTAGTGCTTGGATTAGGAGGAATCAAGTGTTATATATATCATCTTTATCTTCCTTTTATAAAATGTTTTAAGTATATACCTCTTATGTATATTGGGTATCAAGTGGATGTATACATATTTAGTACTTAGCTTCTGATTATGATGTGTACATGTGTGGCCCTTCTGCCGGCTCAAATTATTAGAGGTCTTGGCTTGGGAGGATTTTTCTTTACGCAGCCCTATAATTAAATATTTATCTACTTTTATAAAACTAAAATTCAAAAAAATTTGGACATTCAATTTTTTTTTAAATAACTAGTCGATAATTTTATTTATGATTTTTTTTTTTTTGACATCTATGGATCGATAATGCCCGATCCATAATCAATCCCTATTACGCGGAATAACGCAACTTAGTGGAGTCGAACTCCGGTGGAAAAGACGTAGTCAAGTGGATTTAACCACTTGACTAAAAGCACATTCCCATTTTATTTATGATTGTTTAAATTCTGTATTTTTGACCGGATTGGTTTACAGTATAATGATATGGTTGTGCCATTATCCAAGTATCCAAATTAAAAACCGACAAAAAAAACTCCTTTTATTATAGTTTCAGAGTTGGGCCCGGAACCATTGTAGCACCCGCCGCCTTATGTAGCAAGCCAGCCGGCCCAGCCCTACTAAGATCAAGTAGTAAAGAGTTTGTTTCCGCTCACAAAAAAAAAAAAATTCAAAATAAACGGCTAACATTTTAGGGTATATTAGTTTGGTTAAATGGTTACAGGTCTTCTGATGCTGATGGTTGATGTAACTTTTAATAGCATGCTGCTACTTATCTTTGAGGTGCTAAGGTTTACTTGAGCTCTATAGTATCAGTTTTGAGCCAGAGCAGGTAGAAGCTAAATTCTGGATAACTCACGTTGCGTGTAAGGAATGGTCGGGAAGATCTTGCTTCCTTTGAGAGTCTAAGAACTACAATTCTTTTGACTAAAGGATCTAACAAGATTCACCCATAATCAACATCATTTAATGTATTCATTATTAATTAATCCTAGTCTAATCTTCAAAACTTAATAAGAAGACTGAACGAAAGAAGTGCAAAGGTAAATGGAGGCATAAACATAATTAAGGATAAGAGATGTATGATGATGAGAAATCTTCACTAGTTTGATGAAAAGATGACATCTTCATCACCAAAGTGTAGAACAAGGTTCCTGAGTCTCAATACGAATTAGAGAAAACTCATATTTAGAATAAAAAAATCCTCCAAAATAAGTTTAAATCATGTTGGCACTTTAAAAGTTGGGATAACAATGGATATGAATAGGTCTGCCTATGTCAATATGGAGGTCAATCTGATACTTACATGATTCTCCAACTTTTCCACATTGATCTACCTCTGCCCGATTTAAGAGATCGATGCGTGATTTACGTTTTTCTTGCATGGACCATCAGAAGGTCGATGCGAGTTCCAGGAGCCTCATAAACTTGGGTTCTTTCCCTTGAACTTCCTTTAGCTTGATCCATTCCGCTACATGCTTTGCTTCTCCCGTTTTATGCTCAAATGTATCTCCATTCTTTTGTAAGGTATTTCTACAACAATATAGAGACTCCAAGATGCAAAAAAAAAAACTCCTAAATATGCCTAGATGCAAAGATAAAGTCTGCTAATACAAGAAAGAAAAAAGAAAGACTTCAAATGACTAAAAGGAAATATATCAAAAGAATCTCCCGAGACAAAATTCATGGCTTTCTATTAAATTCACATTTTGTAATTTTCCTTAGTTTCTGTATGAATATTAAGCAGTGCGCCAAACAAGAAGCTCCAAAACATGTAGTCCTGAGATCCGCTGTGATTAGTAAGCCTATTACATGTATGTTAATGTACATAAATAGTTTGAATTCATAGCTTATCAAAAGATCCGCTGTAGCACAAGCCTAGCATCATGTCTGCAAATAAAGTACATTAACATACATGTAATAGGCTTACTAATAATCCTAGCATCGACTCTTGGCTATAAAAGATTTGTGTTAAGTGTTTTCATAACGGCCAGATCGAACCACTTTTTGAACATGGAAAAACCTAATCTGTATGATCAAACTTAATCTTGTGGAGAATGATCACACATTTGAAAGATGAGACATAATTTGATCAGTAGTATATAAAGGACTTTGGCCAATTCATTTATTGAAGAATCCAAACACACGTTGTCCTACTAATCTGGCCCAAAAAGTTGTCTGATCATTCCACTGACTGATGGTTTAAATGAAGACTCAATGTCGTCGAGATAGGGCCAAAAAAACTATTATACTGAAAAAACGTGTGGCGAAAAATCTCATATTTATAGGAAAACACCAAACCAGACGTGTGTAATCCAAGCAAGAGAAAAGAGTTTACATAGAAAGCATCAAAATTTCTGATTTTAGCACAACATGCCAAAAATCGCCAAAAAATATTACAACGACGAGGAATTAAAGAAATAGAAAATGAGAAAAGTTTCTTGCTGACAATAACAAACTCGTCTAGCAAATTGGAGAACGCAACTACGAAGTTGGTTCAAAAGATAGCTTAGAATGATGCTGTAATATTCAAGCCATGGCCAACTTTGAGAACCAGATTCTTTCTCTTACACTCCAAAAGAAGAAAAATAAAACTTAGAAAGATAAATTATTTTTAAGCATTTGGATGATCATGAGTTCCATATATCTTGATCATAATAACTGAAAATTTTCTTACAAATATTTTATTCCATATTTGCTTAAGAAAATAAATGTGCCTCCGTAGAATAATGGAACGTAACTAGAGTTTTCAGACCGTAGCAGCATTAAGCTTTGTCCACTTCCGGAAGATTGTCATAAGCAAAAGAGATGAAGATTGGCAAAATATCCCACAAATGAGACCAATCCACAAACCCTGCCACCACCAAAATAATGAATCAAACATAACATAGTAAAACAAAATTTACCAATCTCATAAGAGAGTCAAGCAATACCTTGGCATAAAACTTCAACTTGAAACCACAAAAGGCGGCAATCGGCATTCCTATTAAGTAGAATGTTGCCAAATTTATAACCGTGACTAAACGCTGCCATCCGCATCCTCTAGCAACTCCTGTAAATAAAATTAACATTGAGTTTTCCCTCGCTGGATGAGTCAAAAAAAGAAGATTTTTTTGATCTTTTTACCTGATAAAACACCTTGGATTGAATCAAGAGTTATAGAGGCAGCAAGAAAAAACCTCAATGATGCAAACTCCTCTTTAATCACATGACTATTACTAAATAACCCAACCCAAACATCATGACCGACAAGTAAGACAATTACAACACCGAGAGCAAGAACTAAAGACAACTTAACGGACACTGAGGTTGCCTTCTTTGCGCCTTTTACATTTCCAGCTCCAAGTTCATTGGACACGCGGGTACTGCAATATTTTCAATTTTTACATTTCCGAAACAATTTTAACAAAGTATTTGAGACTATTTACTAAGATGAGCAAACCTTGCAGCTGCGCTAAGTCCGTATGTTAACATGTAACTAATCGCCTCCGTGTTGACGCTGAATTTATTTAACATAACACACAATGAGCTATTTTGATGTAATAGATCAAAAAAACATTAACTAACTATACAGTGATATTAAAAAAAACTTACCATATAGCAACCAAAGAAGTATTGATTTCCGGGTTTGGCATCACTCCTGCCAAGAACACAAGAATCTCGAATGCCCAATATTCCAAACTGTTGCAACAATATAGTCTCTTAAGCTTCAACAAGCTTATGATATTTTTTCTATTTGTCAACAACATGTACTATTTGGTATGATTACATTGACTAACACAAACCACTAGGCTAGATATAATGGTCAACAAACATATATACTTACCATACCATAGCAGCAGAAGGGATGCTTAATGTCAAGTTTATTACGATATAACCGAATGATTCCAACGAAAATCCAGTCCATGTTTCTTTAAACTTTTCTGAACAGATCACATAAGTTCCGAGAGAAAGGAAAGCTATCCACAATGAAATAGATGTAGCTATTGGAGCACCAATGAATCCGAGGCCAGATAAATAAACAAGAACATATGCGGTAACGATATTTATCACCAAGGGAACAAACGAGAAGATGACTAGTGGAGTAATGATCGATTGTGTTTGGCAAAATCTCAAAATATTCTGTAAGAACCCGTAAGCGAGTAAACCGGGAGCTTGGTACTTCATATAGAGTGCAGCTTGTTTTGAAATGCTAGGATCTTGTCTGAGAAGTCCGAAAATCGATTCTGTGAAGAACCAGAAGATGGTGATGAGTATGCTGAAGACTAATGAGACGATGCAAGATGTTTGTAGATGAATCCCCAACATCCTGTATCTTTTTGCACCAAAGCCTTGTCCACATAATGTCTCAAGTGATCCACTTAACCCTACCTGAAAACAAAGAGACATTAATGTATGTCATAAACAAACACTAATACATATTTACCATTGGCCATATGTTCTTGAAGATGTCTTTAATAAAAATATAGACAACTCCTAAACCCATCTACTAGTCATTTATGTCGAATAAATCATTTTAGACAATCTTGATTCTTGAATTCGAATTCGAGTCTATTAATATTGAGACGAAAATAAGTTGGTTTTAGTAACTTATGCAGAGTAGACATCAAAACAAGATGTTGAATTACAAAAACTAAAGGAATAAGGAAATAATGGTACCATGAAGGCAAAACCGGAGACGGTAGCCCAAGAATTGGCAAGGGTGGCACTAGCGAGCTCGAGTTGACCGAGGTGAGAAGCAAACATCACAGAAGTTATAGGGATACAGTAGTAGAAAACATTGGTGAGTATCATTGGCAAAGAGTAAATCATTTGAGCTTTAGCTTCTTCCACGTCGATTAGCTTTTGAACCAAAGTTGATGATCCTCTCCTTCCTCTTTCATCTTCTCCACCTTCTTGGTTATCCAACAACGGAGAACTCGTCGCCGGATCAGCCATTGGATCTTCTTGTTGGAAGGACTTTGGGTTTGGTTAAGACTTGAAGAGGGGAATTGTGATTTTGCAAGGTGAGGAATTAAATAAGAGTTGTACGCAGAAACAGGATATTAAATTAATACTTACACGAGGCCTCTCTGCCATTTATTGCCACATTATAATGCAATATAAATACATTTTTTAATTATGCCAAAAAATACACTTCAATTTATTACATCCACAGACAAATTATACTCTATGTATCCCAAATTATAAAATATTTTTGTTAAAAGCACAAAAATTAAGGAGTAACAAAATTTTATTTATTTATAAAAATTTAACCAATAGAAAAAAAGACTGCAGAGTTCAAAAGGTCATAAATAAACTAAATAAACATAAATTATGCATAAAATCTGAGAAAATCTTATATTGTGGAACAAGAAAAAAAAGGCTAAATCATTCTATAATTTGGGACAAAGGATTATGCATTCTATAATGCATAATTGTAAAACAAAATCAACAAAAGGATGACTTAAAAGTCAACTAATTAAAATTAGCAATGTCTAATCATTCTAAACCAATAGGCAGCTCATGAGTCATCACCACCTCAGGAAATTTCTGAACTATGGATTTAACTTATCGTAAAAGTGGTGAATAAAAAAACTTCATTAAGAAATGTTTCTATATTACAACAATTCACCTGTTTTAAGACATGCTTAGGATTGGTACTAAAATACAAAAGTACAACTAATGAAAACTTGTATTGAGTATTTTCTTATATATAAGTTTTAATTCTAAAAAATACGATGCAGCTCATCAATACAAGTTTTCATTAGTTGTACATTTAGAGCGAGTATAGTTTAAAGACGTGGTCACCAAGAGACCAAATCTTTAGGACATCTTTTAGATTTAAGAACGTTTTCCATATTCAGTTATGATATGGGACCATCTGAGTAAATCTTTATGTTTGTTTCTGATTCTTGAAATCGATAATTTTGATGCCTTAAGATTGATCAAGTTTCCACCTCATATACATGCCTCATTTATTTCATTGATCTGATTATGGTTTTTGGAAGAGAGTTTGTTTTCAATTTTTATCTGATTCTACAGCTCATCTCCAGTACTATGATCCAATTCTAGTCAGATTCATGGTTACTCATCTTCTTGTTTTTTTCTTAACCATGGTTACTCATCAACTAGAACCAAGAGATAATTATCTTAAATATCAGTACAACAATCCTTATTTAGAAAATATTTTTATTTTTAATCATCAAACTAATAATTGAATAGAAGCTGGTGAACCTAACAACTAATTCTTAAACATTAGTTGAGAATTTGCTAATTTTGTCAAGGTTTTATGACTAATTATGAGGTAGATTTTCAAAAAATAAAAATAAAAAGTTGTAATGCAGCTGAATTTTAAAGTAGAGCAATCATAGAGAAAAATAACTAGGCTTAAGGTTCAAAGGAACATTAAGATAATTCTAGAACGTGTTAAGTTTAACTCAAACTGATGTTTCTGAGACTGAAACATTTTGGGAAAACACTAGCCACGAACATAACAAAGCAAAGTAAAGAAGATACTACTAGTTACATTTATTATTTAAAGAGTAATAGACATGATTTTGGGTCTCCTCTGGTTATATGCACACCAAAGCTTAGACCATTCCAAGTTCTCACTTGACATAGTCGATGAGCCAAGCGAGCATGTCTTTGTGAGCTTCCTCTGCAGCTTCAACTTCTGATGGATCATTCTCATTGTATCTAACAGTCCAACCGTGTTTGACACTTGGAAATATCTTCACAAAACTCTTCACCTAAAACATCACGTAGTAGAAATTGGAGAAGATATAAAAATGAAAACTATGTATCTACTTGAAGATATTGAGTGGCATAAAGAAATGGAGCAAAGCCAAGTACCTCAGGTTTAGAAGCTAAAATATCTTCGAATTGCCTCACAAGTTCTGGAGGGGACACTTGATCGAGTTCAGCTCCTAATACCGCGATTGGAATGTTGACATCTGCTTCAACCATATATTGAGAGTCATAATCACAAAAGATGAAAGGGAACTATCAAGTAAAGAGTGGCCATATCAAATATTTAATTACCCTTGATATCATCCACCGTAACACGAGAAGGATGTAACAAAACAGTAGCGTCAACAAGCTTTTGCTTAGCTAGTTCCACTGCAACTTTTGCTAAAGATTAACACACAAAAGGAAATAAAAGTCTTGTGTTAACTCATATCCATGGTTGACTTATTGTACAGACCATGGAAAACATTTTCCTAAAGACTCTGGTGATGATGGGAACAAGAAAACCAAACTCACCACCCCAACAGAACCCTGCTGCTCCTATACTAGTTATGCCTTTGTTCTTCAAGGCCTCCACTATTGGCTTTGAGTCCTCAAACCCTTTCTCCTACAAAATCCATAGTCTGGTTTCAGATACATCGATGCAGAACAGGATCTTATCTTTGCAATCAAAAACAAAGAGCAATGGCATAAACACTGTCTTGATCTGAGATTTGGAATCAAAACTAAGAGTGATGACATTTTGGCATTGAGAATAAGGCCATAAGGGAATATTGCAAAGGTAAGGGAAATTTAGACCACTTGAAGCTTGGGAACAAACTCATTTATGGTTTGAGAAATAGTAAGGATTAAACATTTGACAAGGTAAAGAAACTAACTTGTCCATGATCTTTTGCCCATATAAGAAGCGGTCGATCCTTATCCTCGGGATTATAAGGATCTCCATGGAAGAAATCGGGAACCACCGCATAGAATCCAGCTTCTGCAACTTTGTCAGCAAGTTTCCTATCACAGGAAGAGCAAAACCATGACAAGTTACAACAAGAAAGAAACATCTAACATAAATAAAAGTTTCTCAAACAATTACCACCAGCAACATTGATCACCACAAGACAAATAAGCTAATAACACTATGAATCATAAATCATTACAAAAACTTCTACTGTCTTTACAAGAAGATCCCCTAAATATCTTCAATATCCTAAACTGGTCAAGTAATTTCATTGAAGAATTTTGGTCTACATCATTAAATATATTAGAATTATGGGTTTCATTACCAACAACAAGTGATACAAACTATTTTATAACTCATTATAACAAATACAATCACTAGGGATTCTCTGTTACAGTACCTCAGGTTAGGAGTTTCATATCCTGCAATAAAAAGGTTTTAGATTCTCAAATAAGACCAAATTCAGAAAGAACATTAAACTTTGAATGAAATTGAAAAGTTGGAGAGTGAAAAGGCTTCACCGAAAACATGAGAGACAAGAAGAACAGCAAGCTTTGAATGAGTGGAACCAGAGACGTAGGTGTCAAGGTTACCGAGTTTCTCGACATGACCTGACCCGCTATTTGGATCCAGATGAGGCGGGTTCTCGGTGCACTGATGACCCGACATTCTTGTTTTTGGCCGAACCAAAACAAGACTCCTCCTCTCTCTGGCGCTTTGGAACCTCTGTTTTGAAAAGTAAGCCACCTTTCAGCTCACACCCTTACGTGTGCGTATCTATCTAATCTCCCACCTACAAAAACCCACGTGCGTTAAAATAAAAGTTCAATTTTGCAATGTTATTTTTTGATTTATCAAAATGGTATTTTTTTTCTTTTTTCTTTTACAATTTCTAATCGGTCAAATGGGTAGTTAAATAATAACAAACATACCATTTTTTTCCACTAACCTAAGTGTAACAACATTACATTATTGGCACGATGAAAAATATATCATCACTTGATGGTATTAAATGTTCCAACAGTGTATAGTGTGAGGCATTGTTGTGGAGAAATAACGTTTTGGCGACGATAAATGTGTTATCACGATGAACACTAGACGTTGTGTTTGGTTATGTTAAGAAGAAGCTTTAGGCTATGCGACTTTGCCTGATCTAAGGTGTTGAGGCTCGTTTTCGATTGTATGCTTGTGATAATTACATATCCAACCTAAAACCGCATCGGTTTTTCGGTGTTTAGTACTCGTTTAAGACCAACCGAAAAATCCTAACTATAGGAACGATAATAATTTAAGACTTGACGATATACACTAGTTCATTCATTTAGTGTATAGTTACGGTAACCGGCTGATATACCGTAGCTATATCCAAACAACAAATTTACATAATCACGGTATAGTTCATATCTTGCTAATTCATTTTATTTCCCTAATGGTACTCAATAACACATTCTTCGTTATTCCGCAACTAATCCATAGATAATTTACATGACTACAACAAATCTATAGCCATGTTTGTAGCTTTACGAGACAATCTCCATAATGTTTACCGATCCCAACAAATCTATAGCCATATGTTTGATTCTCCTCTCTAAAACCTCCATATTCCCAGAAAGAAGAGTAGCAAATTTAATTTTTTTCACATAGAAAATATATATAGTTTCTTGTGCTTGGATCGTCAATATCTAAAAATGTAAATGATCTAATCAAAAAAAAAAAATGACAAAACATATCCCTAAATAATGTACCTTGAAATAATGATTGAATGATTCTATGCACTTATGCAAAGCCAACAGTCCAAGATTATTCTAATTCAATCCTCAATTTATTTTATAATAACAAACAAAAACTGTTTGACAAATTCGTATTTCTGTGGCTTCCTCTATTTATCTTTTTTTTCTTCTTTTTTGGGTTATCTAATTCACAGTTTTTAATTTTTTATGTGGTCAGATATTTTGTCTCAAGCGTTGCCTTGAAAATCACGTCGGAAGATCACGAGGAATTATTTGCGCCACCCAAACAGACAAAACACAATTTTTGTTTTTTTTTTGGGTTTCTTGTCGGTTTCCAAGGGTTTTTGTTTAGGGTTTTCATTTTTTTTTCCTATCTATCTAATCCTCTGTTTTTCTCCACATCAAAAACCCTCAAAATTGAGAGACGAATTCGTGATAATGGGTTCGCTTAAGGAAAGTCAAAGAAGAGACATGGAAGAAGATGAATCAGAAGAGCCGCTTTTGATGGCACAGAACCAGAGATTCACTATGTTCCCCATTAGGTACAAATCGATTTGGGAGATGTATAAGAAGGCTGAAGCTAGTTTCTGGACTGGTTAGTCCTCTTTCTTTTGCTTTATTTTTGTTATGTTCTCTGATGCCTCTTGAGTTTGAATTGTTCTTATGGTTGTGGATACAGTTTTGATTAAGAACGTCTGGGACTTTGTAAATGTAAAGCTTCTTCTTTTCGTTGGTTAGGATTGTAATGTAGTCGCTGTTACCTTGTAGTAGTCGATGTTTCCCTTTGATTATGATTGGTGGAAAACAAGATGTTTTTGTTACTTCTAAGTCTGATTCTGATTCAGAGGATGTTTCACGTGTGTGGTAGTTCTGTTTCTTGCTTATGTTATCATGAATTGTGCCTTGTGGTTGTGGATGCAGTTTTGATTAAGAAAGTCTGTGACTTTGTAAACTTTAAGCTTCTTCCTTTAGATGTTTAGGATTCTAATGTAGTCGGTGTTAGGTTTGCTTTTGCGTTACCTTGTAATAGATGTTCCACTTTGATTGTGGTTAGTGGAAAACAAGATGTTTTGTGCTTCTAATTCTGATTCTGATTCAGAGGATGTTTCATGTGTGTGCTTGTTCTGTTTCTGCTTATGTTTGACTTTTCTGAATTGATTGTAGCTGAAGAGGTTGATCTTTCCACTGATACGCAACAATGGGAAGCCTTGACGGATTCAGAGAAACATTTTATCAGCCATGTTCTGGCTTTTTTCGCGGCATCAGATGGTATTGTATTGGAGAATTTGGCTGCTAGATTCTTGAATGATGTCCAAGTTCCAGAGGTGAGAGGATTTTCACGTAGCGGAGTATAGAAAAATATGTGGCTTTAAATGATTTTCTTAGTACTGTTGACTGACTTGATATGCTGTGGCAATGTAATATCTTGAAGTCGACACTTGTTGTTTGATTTGAGATAGTCAATCTCTGGATTTTCAGGCTCGTGCTTTCTATGGATTTCAAATAGCCATGGAGAACATTCATTCAGGTAAGGCTTTGTTAGTGGAGAAGTTTAAGAAGTCTAGAACGTTTTTCCAGTTTTGTTTCGCTGCAAACCCCGAAATATTTTTTAGGGAAAGATGAGAACGATCCTTTTAACAGATTATATGTTGCTGTTACCTTCCATTTAGTCATAGTGAGAAAGAGAAAACAAAAAAGTTTGACTCTAGTCATGGTGAATGAAATAAACATATGTGGACCAAGATTTGTAACCAGTACCCAAGAGAAGCTTGATAGGGTTTGGTTGTTTAAAGATTTAATGGAATATCCTTAGATAGGTCTATGGCCTGGTTCATGATCTTGTAGATTTCTCTCTCTGTATACCAAGTAGAAACTGATTCAATACATATTCTCTTATGACAAATATCAGAGATGTACAGCTTACTTCTGGAGACATTCATAAAGGACTCTAAGGAGAAGGATAGATTGTTCAATGCTATCGAAACCATTCCTTGTATTTCCAAGAAGGCAAAATGGTGTTTAGATTGGATTCAAAGGTACCCAATTGTTGTTGAGTTAATATACTCAGCTTCAATATTCTTTCTTTGGTTGAAGAAATATGTGATTAATTGTAAAAGATAATCCTAGATTGTTATCTGACACTACCATTTTCTGCAGTCCTATGTCGTTTGCTGTGAGGGTGGTCGCATTTGCATGCGTCGAAGGAATCTTTTTCTCAGGAAGGTATAATTTTTTAGCTGTTGCATAACGTTGGAATCCTAGGCATAGAGAACCTATCATATATATATGCAGCTCTTTAGAAGCAAATTTTCGTGTATAAGCACAGTTTCTGTGCCATCTTCTGGCTTAAGAAGAGGTGTCTTATGCCGGGTTTGACCTTCTCAAACGAGCTTATATCGAGAGACGAGGGGCTCCACTGTGACTTTGCGTGTCTCTTGTACAAGTAAGAATAAGTCTGTATATTAACTGCAATCCACACTGGGTTTAATGAGCCATCTCTATGATCCATTCACTCCTTATCATATGTTGTGCAGTTTGCTGCAGAAGCAGCTTCCGTTGGAGAAAGTTTATCAAATTGTTCACGAGGCAGTGGAAATTGAGACAGAGTTTGTCTGCAAGGCTCTTCCTTGTGATCTGATCGGAATGAACTCAAACCTCATGAGTCAGTACATACAATTTGTCGCTGACCGTCTTCTGGTAAAACTATTTTAATGTTTTCCCTCTAGTTTCTGGCATTTTGAAACATGAAGTAGTTTTTTATTCGAACCCATGGATTTGTCTTGTTTTCTGTAGGTTACCTTGGGATGTGAAAGGAGATACAAAGCAGAAAATCCATTTGACTGGATGGAGTTCATTTCTCTGCAGTAAGTAGTCGATATATCGCTGAGTTTCTCTCATCTTTAGGATCACAATGCCATTATAACGTATCAGGAACAGTAGTGACTTAATTGATTAAGTTGGTTTTGGTACTTTTATGATAAAATTTGCAGAGGAAAGACAAACTTCTTTGAGAAGAGAGTTGGAGAGTATCAGAAGGCATCGGTTATGTCGAACCTCCAAAATGGAAGTAAGAACTACGAATTCACGACTGAAGAGGACTTCTGAATGAAACCGCCATCGAATCTGGAAGGGCTCATCAAAGTTAGATTCTTTACGAGTCATCATTCTTTTAGCCCAAAACCAGTAGTAGTAGTAATAGAAGAGGCCATATTTTGACTTCACTTAGCAAAGGATGTTATTTATGTTCTCTATTTCACCATCACTTGTGTCTTCTCCATTGTGTAATATTAACATCTTAGTTAAATCAAATCTCATTATATTAAACAAAAAAACATTAGTGGACTAAAAACAAAACCAAAAGCAAGTTTAGGACTTAGATATGTAATACTATTAGTTGTTATAAATATCTGAATTAAAAATGATTAATAGTCGCCAGCAAGTTATGACTTTGAACGCAAGATGCCAAGATATGACTTCTAGTTAAAAGATGTGACATGAAAAAGCGTAATAATGGTTAATTTTACATTACCCACCAACAACTCTTAGGCTAATAAACACTCCAATTCGTTGGAGAAACATGAAATAATGTTTTATTATATGGTTGCGGCTTAGCTGTACTTTTGAGTAACTCCACAATCTCATTGACGTGTTTTTTGAGAACTCCCACTTGACCAACTTTTTTCAAACAAAAGTCATTGTTTACGATCGTTATATACCCATATCCGATCCAAACTACCAAGACTTTTCTCATTTTTCTGATAAAAGTGATAAAAATTGCTCTTAAAAGTTAAAACATATTTCCTTCTTTTTTATATGATGTTATTTTTAGTTTTCAATGTAATATTAACCAGTTTTTTTTATTAGTTTTGACGATTAATATTATGCAGATTATTTTTTTATTAGTTGATTAGATAATAATGATGTTTTAGTTTAGAAATAAACAAAAATTAAATAATTTTTTAATCTGTGTGCATTTTTCTAAAACATCAAATAAAAAAGAATGGAAGGAGTAATAATTTATTAACGGATAAGAGTATGCGTAGAATACAGCGGAGAAATTCTTTTGAACTACCCTAATTATTTTTTTGAAATTTTTTCTTTTACTTATGTTTAACTATATATTATTACTCCAAATTATCTTAATTATTAACGTAATCTAATATTGTCCGTAGTTATATATACGATTATTCATATATTCTTTTTGATAGGCGAATATCCGATCTATTTTTTCAAAAATACACTATGTAATAGTATTTTTAGATATCCTTCAATCCGTCATATCGGACAAGTATCCACTACTTACTATTATTTGACCTTGTGGCCTAAAATGGACGCTCATAATCGTTAAAAAGTTTGGTCCAACCAACTTATCACATGTATAGAAGGAAAAAAACAACAAACTTCCATGTATTAGAGTGACGAAAAAAGGCTAGAGGATGAATAAAATAGACTAATATTATAACGTACAAACTATCAATGGACGATGAGGAAAAGTACAAAGAAAAATGATGGAATTGGTGTTGAAGATGAGAAGGTGCGCAATCTAAATCAGAAACCACAAACGCCGTCGTTTTCAAACAACTAGCTAGAAAAACAAAAGACATGAGCCACTATAGTGAATAGTGTTTGTTTGTGTGTTCTCACCAACCAAGATATGATGATTCTTTTACTTGAAGAAGACATCAACCAAACACTCACATTATATTAACAGAATAAAAGGGACTTTTTGTTTTGGGTCCGATCTCTTCTCCACTTATTGTTTCACGAACGGTTTTAGAGATTTGACTAATTAATACAAATCAAATTATATCGTGTTTTGTTACCCTCCAACATGTTATTTATGATTAGTAAGGTGTTGTTTCTTGATTGAAATCTTGATTAGCATAATTCTAGAAGTCTTTGATCATTTCAAGAAGGAATGATTTAAGATGTAGATCGTTTGTTGGAATTGAAAAGTTTACTATTACTTCTGCAACAATTCTCATTCTATAGAATTTATTTATGTGAAACTTTAACAACAAGCATAAGCATGACTTAGAAAGAAAAAAAGAAAGAAACAAATCACTAATTCAGATCTATAAACAGAAAAGAATAATTGTATTTTGTTGAACAGTGGACCAACAATGTATTAACATCGTTTGATTTCAGACAATTTGTGATATTGCCACCAATGTCTAAGTTAAACTCGATTTATTTTGGAGGTAAACATAATTTTTCGTAAAAATTTCTCGCAAGTTCGTCTCAGCTAAAGAACTCAAATTAAATTTTACGAGTTCAAATGATCATACACATAACAATTTTTACTGAAAATAAACAAATCTATAATCTCGCGAATTTACTTCATGAATATTGGATCGTTAAAACCCTATCACAACAAACGGATTAAACTTCCGAGTATTAGTATATAAAGATAATAAATTTCACAAAAGTTAGATTACATGGTACATCACAATTCAAGATGTGCAGTAGCATCATCTCCACCTACTCCTAACCACTAACCCAAATATCTTATTTTTTTTGTTATTAAATTAAGTTTTGAATATTATTTCACCACCATGCTTTTTCCACTGTGTAAATATTACCATCTTAGTTTATTAGTATATCTTATTATTATCATTATAGTATCATATGAATAAATAATGTCATTCCCAGTAATTAGTAAAAATGTATAATTGGAGGTTTATATACAAACAGACTTTGACCTAAACCATAGTCATAAACCGGAAAATATTGACATTGGTTTATACTATACCAGTTCACGGACGCAATGTATAAAACCGACAAACTATACAATCCTGTAAAAGTATAAAGACTGAACCGGGCCTTGTGGCCTAGTGGTAAAGGGGTCACAGCTGTGACTTCCGCCACCAGGGTTCGAGGCACGGCCACTGGCAGGTTTACATAGGGGAATTTGCCAGCCTCGTGAGATTAGTCCTTGGGCCTAGGAAGCCTTTGGGAGACCCACGGTTATTCAAAAAAAAAAAAAAGTATAAAGACTGAACTATTTAATAATACTAAACATAAATCTTGGTTTTGTTTCAACGTCAATGTAGAAATCTTTATTATAAGTTAAATGTTCAGTACATATTCCATATCCATGATACAATTTAGAATTTAATGTATGAATTTTTTTTATCATAAATTAAGTTTTCATTTTAATAAACTCATACACAGTGTTACGACAAGCTCTTTGCAGTTGTTCGCCAGATGGGCTGATAGGTTTAATAATTTTATTTTCTATTCAAGCACTTGCAGTTAAATCTAAAACATTTTGCCATTAATTTCGGCTATTTAAACCCCAAAAAAATATATTAATAAAAAAATTTGGTTATTTTTTTATTTCTAAACTTAGAACCGAATCGAACCGAACCAACATCTATATCAATTAATTTGGAATAGTTTTCAACCAAAAATACGATTAAACCGATCCAAACCGATCCGAATAACCGAACTCACATGACTCCTCAAGAACATGATTTATGAACATCATTTGTTTTGTGTATAGTTGATTCTAGCTAATGTGGTGAAAGACAATCATCTTACGTTTGGTGATTCTATCAAGTACATTGATGAATAAGGGACCTTAGTAGGGCAAAGAGGGAATATGCAAATGATAGGATTTGCTTCAAAAGATGCATGTTCAGTACATGTTCCATATGCATGATAAAATTTAGAACTTAATACATGATTTTTTTTTATCATAAATTAAGTTTTCATTTTAATAAATTCATACACACAGTGATTAAGACAAGTTCTTTGCAGTTGTTCGCCAGATGGGCTGATGGATTTAATAATTTTATTTTCTATTCATGCACTTGCAATGAAATCTAAAATATTTTGCCATCAGTTTCGACCATTTAAACCCCCAAAAAATATATTAATCAAAAAATTTGGTTATTTTCGATTTCTAAACTTAGAGCCGAATCGAACCGAACCGACATCTATATCGATTAATTTGGAATAGTTTTCAACCAGAAATCTGATTAAACCGATCCAAATAACCGAAGTCGCATGACTCCTCAAGAGCATGATTTATGAACATGATTTGTTTTGTGTGTAGTTGATTCTAGCTAATGTGGTGAAAGACAATCATCTTACGTTTGGTGATTCTATCAATTACAGTGATGAATAAGGGACCTAAGTAGGGCAAAGAGGGAATATGCAGATGATAGGATTTGCTTCAAAAGATGCATGTTCAATACATGTTCCATATGCATGATAAAATTTAGAACTTAATGTATGAATTTTTTTTTTATCATAAATTAAGTTTTCATTTTGATAAACTCATACACACAGTGATTAAGACAAGCTCTTTGCAGTTGTTCGCAAGATGGGCTGATAGGTTTAATAATTTTATTTTCTATTCATGCACTTGCAGTTAAATCTAAAATATTTTGCCATCAGTTCTGAGTTTTGACCACTTAAACCCCCAAAAAATATATTAATAAAAAAATTTGGTTATTTTCGATTTCTAAACTTAGAACCGAATCGAACCGAACCGACATCTATATCGATTAATTTGGAATAGTTTTCAACCAGAAATCTGATTAAAGCGATCCAAACCGATCCGAATAACCGAAGTCGCATGACTCTTCAAGAACATGATTTGTTTTGTGTGTAGTTGAATCTAGCTAATGTGGTGAAAGACAATCATCTTACGTTTGGTGATTCTATCAAGTACAATGATGAAGAAGAGACCTTAGTAGGGCAAAGAGGGAATATGCAGTGTTGATTATAGGATTTGCCTCAAAAGATGCATGGGGACATAATTTGTAAAAGGAATATGCATAAATAACATGAAGATATTATTAAGTATGAGCTTCTTCATGAACTAAATAACGTTCATAATTCCATTTGATCCACAACTTTGGGCTATTGGTATATATAAAGCTAACTTTATCTAGATTACATACTACATCTCAATTCAAGATGTCCATTTATTAAAGCAAAGGCATGACTTTATCTTCGACTAGAAACTTGTGATGGACCATCCTAAACCTCCACTAGCATCATCTCCACCTACTCCTAACCACTAACCCAATTATCCTTTTCACTTTTTCCTCTCAGCATTATCCTATTTTTAGGTGATATATGGAAAAGAAAAATACTCCAATTTCATGTCTTTTTTTTTTTTTAATTGAATTGAGCTTTGATACTATGGTTAATATGGATGCAAGAAAACTCACGTTCCTACTATTTTCTTTTTTCTAAATGATGACGTTTTCTCAACTTATGATTTATCGTAGTCTAATCGGTTATTGAAAAAAATGATATAGAAGTTTGAAATTCACTGGCCAACCTCTTTCACTAATTAAATAGAAT